ATGACTCAATGCACTTATTCCTTTAGTCCTGTAGTGGCTATAACTGTTAAATATGCTGGGTTCTTTTTGTTCCTCAAAACTCCACAGGGTTAGGGTTTAGGGTTAGGGTTAGGGTTAGGGTTTAGCCATGTCGTGGGGTAATTGTTTGAAACCTAATATGTATTTTGATAGAAAGAGTTTGACAAGTTTCTATGGTCATTTTCATACCTATTCTGACGTGAAAACGTGTTACCATCTTTATTCTGACATGAATTCAAGCACTGTTCTTCATGAAGGCGCAGGTTACAAACTTTCGGTTACAAACTTTCGGTTACAACCGTCTTTGAATTCTACAGTGGACTCACTCTAAAGCAGTGAATGTGAAGCTAATTTTTAGAATCGGTGCATACAAGGCCTTTTCAAAGAGAAAAGTGGATCTGAATTTGCTATGGGAAGTATGTTCCTATCTTGAGACGTTTGGAATCATTAAGGCACAGAGAGAAGAACCAAATAAGAGATGTCTGGAGTGACATAACAGGAAGTAGTGGAGCTCCTGGTGTGTTCTGAGATCACCCAGAGACCAGGTGGTTACACAAGCACACATAAATAAACTCCATGCATACACACATTGGAGGCACTGTATATTTAGCACTTTTTCTGGGTTTGAACTGCACACAAAACTATTTTTGCCTGTCATTTAATCTGATTGTACAATAAGCCTGTTTGACATGGGAAGTATTACAGTTAAAATAAAGGAAAACAAGTCACACATGCATGTTAGTGTCACTTTCAGCTCACAGTGAATCTGTATGAGCCAACATTTAACAAATAATAATTGAGAGATGTGGCAGAGATGATTTTTTTCACAATGTAATTAAATAAATATAAGACGAGGTAGAATCTGTCCTTAAACACTACATTTCAATGTGCGCTCTTTGTCTCAAAAACGATATGCTGCTACTTTGCGAGTAACCCTACAATGAACTGTTTTTTTTATATTAAAGGTGTGACACATGTTCATAAGGAAGAATGTATCTAAATGAGATTTCTGAAAAGAATAGACAGCGTTTCAGACAGCCTGATCCTCTTCTCCTCACTCCCTGCCGGGTCCCTGGAGATAAAGCTTGACTTGATGTCACAGTCACGCCTGACGCCAACATACAAACTGACAATGCGTCATAAGCCCGATGCGAGATGAAACAAAAAGATACATTTTTCATTTACATACATGGTTATACAAGGTGGCTGCAGACTGCAAAGTTGATTTTGAAGGAGGAAAAAAAAATGCAAGTTATTACACTGAACCATGCTCTACATGTTGGTTATCTCTCACTGATAGCCAGCTTTCCAAAACGTTAATAAATCCAGCTATGTTGACGGCTCTGTGAGTTTGCTTGCATTTACAATCTTAGTAAAACCACTGTAGAGGAAAATTGAAGTTGGATTAAAAAAAAGGAATGAATAGATAGATAAATAAGTGTTCTCCTGGTGCTGTCTTTAAAATGGATGCCTGGAATTTACAGTTTTCCATTAACTGATGCCCAACAGCTTTTTCACGCCTGCACCCGGCCTTGGAGCAAGCACTGGTTGTTGTGTGTGTGTGTGTGTGTGTGTGTGTCTGTGTGTGTGTGTGCGGTGGCACTCAGCAGGCCGCCGTGCCGCAGTCTTCATTTTCTCAGCGTTTTTTAACTTAAATGTGTCAGTCTGTCTGCTCTCCTCCCTCCTCTGGGCTTTCAAACATTATCGCTCTGTACTGTGGAAATCACACATCAGCATAAACAGTGGCGTCGCGCTATTACCAGTATCATCAATGGGAGCTTTGGTTTCAAAGGGATCATTTGTTGATAAAAATGTTCGTGCCGCATTCCTCCATATTCAGAGAGAGCAAAGCACAAATCAAGCTCGAGGAGATAATACCTGTAATTATGTTTGCAGTCGCAGGTTTATGAAGGGATGGCTTGCTTACACACACACACACACACACACACACACACACACACACCTCTTTACATCATTTTTGATCACACAGGGACTGCTGAAACTAAGTATTTTTTCCTCCCTCGTATTCGGTTTTTTTCCTCAGTTGTTTGTGCATGTTTTGCGATAAAGGATTATTATTTCTCTGCTGGTGGGATCACATCGCTCATGGTTGTAGACCCCTGAAGAATTCTATTAACCCTGGTTATGTCAGGCCTAATAACATGCCACCCTGCTAAGCAGAAAAGGATTGACTTGGAGGAGGGGGTGGGGGTGTGTAATGAAGGTCCAAATAATTTACTGTTAAAGCCAATAGAATATAAAACTGGACTAAACGTCCTTATTTCTCCCTCTCCTGTCGCTAACCTGGGCTGACAGACTGAGATAAACATAAGTAGAAATAATACATTTGCTTTTTGAGCAAGGTGTGTGCGTGTACAAATGGTATTGCTTTGTGATGCTGCAGCCATTGATTGTGTTGGTGATGGAGCCTGGCTTTCTTTGTTGCTCTGCAGATCAGATGTGGAGTACTGCGGTTTTGCTATATTTGCCATTCATTAGCCAGCAGTGAGGAGATGTCAGGGCGCATTCGCGGGCAGGCCACTCGCGTGATAGCGAGCGTCAAATCAATTCAGTCACCTTGAACTTTGAAGATGAAAGAATAACATGTTGGAATTGGTCTTCCTCTTAGCCTGTACGCCTGTTCAGAAACGCTCGCCCGGTCCTCACGGCGACTGAATGCATTGGTGTTGGGAAAACAATGTCCAACTGATTCATTGATGACATTTAGAGTTTGTGTTCTTAAGCTCTGCTACACAGGAGTCACCAGGAAAACATGTGGACACCAGTCTACTAAAACTATTATTCTGATATGTCTAAACTGTATGTGTATATGTTTTCAAAAAAAATGCAAAAGCTTAGGCTACCAAACTACTTGGTTAGGTTTAGTGACAGATAATAGTTTGCCTAAAAATGGTTAGCCCAGCCACATCATTTTAGTTACAGAATAAAAATGGAATATACAGTAGTCTGAGTTGACAGTTGGTCTCCTGGGGAAAGTCCTGTGCTTGATTAACCCTTCCATCTACCTTGTACATTTCCCTATGATTACTTGTGTGAACTATCACTAGGAACCTAACCCTAACAAAAAGTTGTCTGGGACAAAATGTGGACAAAAAGCACAATTGAGAATGTTCTTTGTTTTTATGGAAACCTAATTTCCTAAGGATACCAGGCTAACCAACAAAATATCATATCCAGAGAGTACATTTTACTTTTCTTGACAAATCTTGTAAAAACACCCAAACAAATAATTTGTTGGTGCATCTCAGCAACTTCCTTAAACTTCTGGACAATGTAGCACTGTATTTCATCAACCAGGATGTAAAAGTGCATTGTTGCAAACTATTTTCTGTGTCAGATTAATCTTCTTTTGGGCCATCAGTATGGTGTATGTGTGATTTAGTAAAAATACATATACACGTGTGTGTTCTTGGTAATAAATGAACATCTCACCCATTGGTGGATGTAAATATTTGGTATGCGCGTGTAGAACAAAACATACATTAAAGCAGTATGTCTGTGTGTTATTGTCTCACATTGGACTGACCACCAGATGTGGTGCTGCCTGAAGATTATGCCAACAATTCAACAAGCCTGGTTTAGACATTTAAAGTAGCCACCTACACGTGAGGCTTGTAGAAACTGAGAAACTGATCACAATCTGCAACACAACTGTAGTGGGAAAAAAAGGTGTCTTCCTGCCTGGTAGATTCACTCTGACACTTCTCTGCACAGTTACATTACAGTGAACTAAACAGAAGAAAATATTGGAAGTTATTTACGCACTTGGGATGAACAGGGGCCAATGACCTCTGACCTAATCATGTTCTTGACACTTTATTTAACATAAATAAACTAAAATGCAGATTTTGTCCCTTTGTGTGCAATGGTCCTGTCATTTATATATTTTTCAAAAAATATCACAATTGCGTCCACAAACGTCGGACAGATGTATGCTGGTAGGACACAATCTCAAATGATGTTTTAACAGAAACAACCCTACAACCAGTCACATGTTTTTTAAATATATATCTGTTCAAAATGATATATTCTTGTCTATCAGAAATCAGGTTCCTACCCAAATGAAGCTAAAACCAAAGATGATTTAATGTGAAGCCATGTCTCTACAAAGCGTTACATGTGTCAAACCTCCATAAACTACAAGTTCTTATGTAAACAACTTTAAAGTCAGCGGCTGTTTTACTCTCAGCAGGTATCAGTACTACATGGAGAGGAAAATGATCTTATACTGACTGACAACAAAATAAATCTCCTTCTTAACCCAGTTAAAAACTGATAGGCCTTTTTATTCTTAAATATGTCAAAAATAATTTGTCAACATGAGAGATGATTCCTTTCATCATTCTTGAGAAATAAGTGCTAAATTAAACAGGTTGATTCAAATGATTTCACCTCTTATTCACATATTTGCTTGCTGATAGATGCTATAGTTTAGAGGCTTATAGTAGCTTTGAGTTTCGCTAAAAACTTAACAAGCTGCAATATTTTGAGGCTGTTTTTCTAAAGAGAAACTTAAATTCTACATGTATATAATGTATACAAAATATTGATTGCAACTTTGTACACAAAAGTGTCATAACAACCATATTTTAAGCCAATTTGAGAAAAAAAAAACGGGACAAAAGTGCAACAGAGATTTGTATTGAGGTGCGCAAAATAAAAGAAATGAAAACACAATAAAAAAGATTTTAAAATGTGAAATGTCAAAACATAATTTACGTGTAACTTTTGCAGCTGTCTGATTGCTGGGTTGTGACACATTTAGAGGCCTTAAAAAAGGGTCACATGCCTTCTCGTGAATAAAAACTGCCTTAGCTCCTTTCCACATAACAAACGGAGCTCAAACCGAACTCTCAATGTGTGTAGAATGGATTTCAGTGGGTTAACTCTCCAACAGCCCTGGAGCAGACCGAGCGTTATGCAGTGTTTGTTGAACGTCACGCAGACGCCGTCTCTCTTACCGTAGGTAGTCTCTCCGGCACAGGATGAGGTTGGCTTTGGTGTAGAGCGTGGAGCCCACCTCGCCCAGCCGGCAGTCACAGCAGGCGCACTTCAGGCAGTCCTCGTGCCAGTACTTATCGAGGGCCTTCAGCAGGTAGCGGTCCTTGATCTTCCGGTTGCAGCCGGCACAGCCTTTTGGCTTGGTGTCCGGCTGGACGGAGAGCATTTGTATACCTGGGGGGAAAGAAGAGAGACGATTTAAAAACTCATCCAGCACCAGCACACTGACAGAGGAACGTTTCCTTATGGTGAAAGAAAAACACACAAATTCTAGGCAGAAAACAAAAACAAGGATTGTGATGCATTTAAAAAAATACAGAACAAGAAATAAATTGATGACAGATAAATGGAGCAAAATACAAATTCTCACTTGTTTTCATTGTGCTCCTCGGTCTTTAAGCAGCAGGTGGTATAAGTACAATATTCATGTATTTATCACACATAAACAGTTAAGACTGAAATGAAAGAAAAAAAACATAAGTGAAAATGAGCATTAATAAACAAGATCATTCTTATTTACATTTTTTAATGGTTTGAAAACACAGATTTTAACCTGGTCTGCTATAGCAAATGAGATATACTCAAGAGACATGAGAATGCAGTTTCAATTCCACAATTCCAAATTAAAGTGTACTCAAAAACTTAGTATGCAGACTTAACAGATACAATGTTTTACAAAAGATATAACCCAATTGAAAATAGTGAGAGCTTCGGTAACCTTAGAAAAAAACTCTATTTACCTTTATTTCTGACTGGCATTCGTGTTATAATTCAATTCACTTATACTTAGTAGTAAGTGTCCACACTAAGTGGACAAAAATGTGTTCCAGCTTACTGAAAAGTACTTAAAATGAAGTATGGATATGGGTCACAGTCCAGGCCTTTGTTAAATACGAAACAATATTTTCTAACTTTGAGAACACACACGACCAGTGTGAGCTGTAAACATCTCCGGTAAGGAATGGTTTACTTTCATTCTGAAATACAAAAAACTTTTACTAATTACTCAAAGAAGACGATGTAGCCTTTGTAAAGACACACACACACCCTCATTGTGCTTCACTGAGGCATCCAAATTGATCTTGTAAAACAGGTGTGGCGGTCACTGTTACTCAACGTAGGTGAAAACACGAATAAAGTCTCTTTAAATAACAGTTAAAAGTATTATTCTAACGATGTAAAAATCCAGTGTTCACAATAAGTTACTAGTCCCAGTAAAATACCCGCGATGGACTAAAAAAGGAGAAGAAGTGAATGCAGATCTGACATTACAAACCAAAACAGTCCTGTTTCACTGCTGTGAGAGCAACAAGCAGCCCACACAGACACAAAGCCACAGTTTCACATTTCTTCCAGGACTTATTTTTTTACATTGACCTCCTGTGTTTAGAGGGGCGTGGCTACAGGCGAGGAGCTTTGCAAGCGGCCTGTATTGTTTGGCCTGAGCTGACTGTGGAGAGCCTTTGTTGGCCCATTGGGAGCCAGAAGAAGAGGGGTGGGGGGGACAATGTAGCTTCGCACCCGGCTGGAATTAGTATTCTCCTACCATTCCCTGAGGAGAGGCACACCCCCACTACCCTTTGTCCCACCATTCACCACACACACAACACACACGCTCGATATTTAGCATGTAGTTTCAGCTTTCATTTCAAATACTGAAACTAACTTTTTTTTAGGATTCCAGTTCAAATGTGTCCATTTACAGTTAGAAAGACACTGTTTTACTTCTAATTCATTAATTATGACTGTTGGTATAATGATAATGTAGTGTCTCCTTTAATTTCACAACAACACCTGGTCATGGAAGTAGAAATAATGTAATCTATTAATTTTGAACTGTCTGAAGTGACACAATCGGGAAACCGGTGTCTAATTTTGTACATAAATAACATGGTGGCTCCTTTTAAAGTTGAGAACAAGCACTTTTCTTCAATGAGTTTCAATGTTTTGGATACAACTATACCTGAGATGCATCAAATGAGCATGAAAACACTGAAATTATGTCTTATTTTGAAAGAAACCTGTCACTACTTGTTCCTTTTTTCTTCTCCTGCCACACAATCTAGCATATTTAGTGAGAAATCATTCGCACAGACAGACTATCAAACAGGTTGCAGAGTGAGCAGCTCATTTGTTCCACGGGTTGGGGCTGTTGATTTGTTAATTGGCTGGATTTAGAGAGCGGTGCGCGCGGCTGCTCTCCTGTTCAGCGCCACTGATCCGTCCAGCCTCGTTAACACTACAAAGTCCCCGCTACTCATTACCAAACCAAAAGAAGGGGAAAAAAGAGTTTCGACTCCCCCCTTTTTTACTGTGCAATCAACTCGCATAGAAGAGGAGAAGCATGGCAGGAATTTGACCACTTCGCTCTTCCGATTGCCGAGGGGAAGTGCTGAACAAAAGCTTCATTTTCCATAAAGGAAAGGGAACCACAGCTGCTCTCGGAGCCCTAATGATATCGGTTTTGTTTGCGCGCTGGCTCGTATCCTCCCTTCCCACTCTCTCATTGTGGACCTGAAGGCTGCTGCGCGTCCTCGGCATGCACATGGAGGCGATCATCACCAGCGGATGGAGGATGATGGAGGAATAGATCGGGGAATAGCCTGCTTTTCTCAGCCCCAGCTGTTCGCCAACGAGATGCTGACATTTCACCCTTTCAGTTTAATTACTGTTGCCATGGCAGCGGAGTACTGGTAAAGGCCAATAACGGGTTTAACACACACACTCAATTTGCCATGCAGCTTTGACAGGCACTGCACTGTGTGATCACTAACATAACACCAGAGCACGTATATGTAATGTCTCGGTGAAATGCTGGAATAACAGATACTGGATCAGGTTAGAGCAACAGCAGGTCAGACCTGGACTCGTCGCCTTTCGACGCAGAGAGATGCTGCAACTTGCCGTCGCAGAGCACACCAAAACACACATGAAAACGTGCCGATAATACAAGCCGAAGCGCCAAAGTCAGCGTCTTACCGAAACTTTTCTCCCTTTTCTGCATTTGTTGAACCGCTGAAGCAGCCGAAGCACCCACCATGCAACCCGGAGCCCCTGGTCCGGAGAGCAGCTGTCTGCGGGCAGGCAGGCAGGCTGGGGTCGGGCTTTGTTAGATGGGGAACAATCCAACACGGCGACCCGGTGAGGAATGAAGAGAAAAAGAGAGAACAACCGGCGAACAAAAACGGAGCTGCTCGCCGTCGTCGGTCGTCACTCGGCGTGTGAGAGCACGGTTATCGCCGAGCGGAGGTGTATGAGCGGAGAGAGGCAAGCAGCGAATGACAGGACGACAAAGAGATGCTTCCCCTCCGCGGCGCAGAGACCATCTAATCCTGCTGGCCACATTACAGGCTGCTGCACGCTGCTCTAATCAGCGCTTTGACGTACCAGCAGCAGGCATCTGCACACAGTCCCCCCCCCCACCACCACAACCTGCTATTACAAAACTCATTATCACCCACATTGCGTGTTTTTATACATCACATCCCCTGCACTCATTCAGTTTGGTTAACATTTTAATTGAAAACGCTAAATAATAGTATTTGTGTCTCACCTTTCTAAACAAGTTAAGCAGAACTGATCTCTTCCAGCAACGGATCCAGCTCCTCTGAAGAGAAATAAAAAGTTCACCAAACTGATCTTCGGGATGGAAATAATGAGCTCCACGTGGATCAAGGCGCCCAGTTAGTGGAAGAGTGCCCAGCTACAGGTGTTCAGCCGAGAGAGTGCGGGGCTCAGGCCGGGCGTCCCCAAATGTTTCACAGAGAGTGGCGAGAGAACCGGGGAAGACAGGCTTTATTATCTCCAAACCCCCCCCAATCCCTCACCGGTGAGACATTACACCGCCACGATAAGGTCATTCACTTATTACCAGCCGCTCCACTATATGACGGAGAGCATACATCGCGTGCGCGCCCCCGGAACGCCCATTTCCCGTAACGTCCTTCAATCTTTAGAGCCGCGGGTGCGCGCAGACGCACGGCGCTCGTTATTTTACAGACACAGAAACACATGTATAGTCTAGGGGTGCCCGAAGAGCATGGCATGGCATTAATTTAAGATGTAAGTGCTGCGTTCAGGGGCATGTTATTGTGCAGAAAAAAAACTGTTTCTTCTGACACCTGACTGACAAAACAGAGAACATTCAGATTTGGAGACTGGAGATTGATAACAGCAAGTGTAAAGACAGTACCCTGGATGTGTTGGATTCAACCAGGCTACTTAAATATGACTGTTATTAATTACCAAAAAGAGCAAAAAGAGTGCCATTTCTTCACACGTGATTTTGTTTAACATGTTTTTTTAATTCCCTTCAATAAGAGAATAGTCTATAAGAAAATATAGACCTCAAATAAAGAGGAAGCAGACAAACTATTATGGATAATTAAATCAATCTTCGCCGAGGTCATTGATTCCTCTTTCTCTGGCATTCTTTCTCCATGCGCGCACACGCAGGCGTCATGTGAGGTCCCGGCTCCACAGTGGCAGCCCGGACTGATTACCGCCTCTCCACACTCTTTATTTAAACCATTCCTGTAATTAAAAAGGACGAAATTATTCTGTGCCCTGTTTTTGAAACATCGATTGGCGACCCAGTTTGTACTAAGCCCACATGTTAGGGCACTGTGCCCCCACACCTCATCCCCATCCAACACACAGCCTGACAAGTTATTCCCTTAAATATTCTTGCAGGGGAAGATGGAGGGAGGGGAGGCTGTGGGAGGAGGAGATACAAGTCAATAGTTGGCATGCGGCTCCAGCCTAAAATGCAGCGATAATGAGATGGGTCATAAAATGCTCTCTGCGCCATTATGAGTGATGAGATGCATTAAAGCTGACAGGGTATTACCTGCCAGTAATTAGGTTTTGTCATGGATTGAATTATTTCAAGGCGGCCTATCTTGGTAATCATGCAATTTTCTGCAGTGTGTGTGTGGAGTGTGTGAGGCTGCCACCTCTCTCCCGGTGCCCTCCAGCCGGTTATTCATCCTCCGTATGAATGGGAGAGGAAGAAAAAAAGGCAGCGATGGAGGATGGAGGAGACAGTCAAACGGCACGGATTAAGTCTCTTCATCCCACGGAGGCACGCACATGTATTAATCCATCATATATGCGCAAATGGAACGCTTGTACCGGAACCAAACCTTGCATCCCAGTTTCTAAAGAAGACAGGGAATGACAGCTGGGACATGCACCAAAACACATCATCACCAACACCGGATTCCTTTAACCCAACACTGTGTTATTTACAGATGCAGCCTGTTTGGGGACACGCCAGAAGTGAAGTGTCCTCCCATCTGTATCACCGAGCTGTGTTTGTTTTCTTGTGGAGCTCACTTTACGCACAGCTCTAGCCCTGCGTAAACTCACATCCCATAAACACACACAGAGGACCAATCACGTACCTTTAAGTACAGCCAAGGATGCCCCAAAAGAAATTCTCCGGGTCGCTGCAGCTGTCGTCTTCTTCTTCTTCTTTTAAAAGTGTCCACAAGGCAACTTTTCTCAGACTCCAGGGAAACTTTTGCGACAGGAGAGTGGAGAACTTCTCCACCTTGAGTTTCACCTTAACCTCGGCTCCCCTACGTGTCCCGGCTCACAGGTCGTCTCTCGTCGTCCCCCTTTAGCTGCTTCTCCTCCTCCCTGTCTCTTCCGTGCGTCTCTCTGGTTCTCTGGCTGGAAACAAGCGGCGGAGAGTGGAGCCTCCTCTCCTATTTAAGCCCCTCCACCAGGTCCCCAGTCAGCAGCACACTCCAGCTCATCCAAGAAGCTGACAAGCACCGTTAGGGAAGGCAGCGCATGTTGCTCTAATGGACCTCATTAAGCTCTACTTACAGATGTTCTCTTAACATAATTGATCTGCAGCGAGTTGAGAGGACGGCAACCTATTCCCCAGCCCCCAATTATGGCCCGGTAATTAGATCCCCAACCTCCAGTTCTCCACATTCACCCTTCTAACATTCCGAAATATCAAAGTATCTCTTTCTCTCAAAGCGACCGCCCCCCCACCACCTCCACCACCTCACCCCCATGTCTCCTCCCTCCTCCTCCCCCTCCCACCCACAAGACACTATTGACAGTCAGATCTGCTAACCTTTGTAGTGTAGCCAGACTTAGCAGTGCACTCACTCCAATTGACAGAGCTCACTCACTCTTCTATTCCTCCTTCCTTGCCTTTTTTTCTACCATTTGGGAGATGGGGGTGGGGGGGGAGTCAGAGCGAGTGGCACAGATGGAGAGAGAAAAAGAGGGGAAGGAGGGAAAGAGTAGGTTAGCACTTTCCATAAAGGGTTGTAATGATAATATCTGTCAGGGGAGGATCTTTTTTTTTCATAGTGCTTTTTTATCTTAAATAATTCCTCTCAACTTTGAAGAGAGGGAGAAAGAGGGAGGGGTGTTGTAACCGGTGAGGACAGATAGTGCAGCTTTTATAATGCCAATCAGTGCCACTCCTCTCACCCATCTAATTAGCCAGAGTGCTAAAACAGAAAGCACTTGGGGAAATGGTAATGTCAAGCTAGTGCATGTTAAAAAGAAGACAAATCTCCACAGTGACAAATAAAAAAAAAAAACTATTTGCGATGGGGTGTAATCAAGTATTTTCCGAGCAAGCAGTGGCGGATAAAAATGTTCTCAAGTCTTTATGTTGTCACAGATGTACTGCGCGTCGTTTTTCTTGATATCTGGATTCATGACCCAGATTGAAATGTTCCTGTGTGTGTGTGTGTGTGTGTGTGTGTGTGTGTGTGTGTGTGTGTGTGTGTGTGTGTGTGTGTGTGTGTGTGTGTGTGTGTGTGTGTGTGTGTGTGTGTGTGTGTGTGTGTGTGTGTGGTGTGTGAGTGTGTTTCCACAACAGCACATAAAGTGAAACTCCAGCACTTAATGTGTGATGCCTGCAGCTCCTGATTCGAGGACATATCTTAAGTGTGACAGTGATAGTAGATCCGTGCATGCATTACTTGTGATTGAGATTCAGAAGTCTGAAGATATTCCCTTATTTATTTTTTTGTCAACAAATAGAGTGTGTGTATCAACGTCTGGCATATAATGTTCTTCAGCGTCATACAGTAGAGCTACGTTGTACCCCAAAAAAATGACTGGGCGTAACGCGCTGCAGTTTCAAAACGATGCAAATAAAAAAACACAAATGTGACAAATAAATTAATGTAAATTATTAATAATGTAAATTAATTTTTAATGTAAATTAAAAAAATCAAATGTGGATTCATCCGCCACAGAAAACAGTCCCCAAACTGATTTTTTTCCTTCTTTCTGAGAAATGCTGTTTTATGAAATCATTTAGTACATTTTAATTATAGTCAGTTTTCAGTAGTGAGAAAATGGTTGTGTTATGTTGTCTTTCCACATTGCTTTGTTGGATTATGAACACAGAGAAGTCATCATAGAAAGCAAATGATTGCTGATGGCCAGTATCAGCTGTGGTCTTTCACTTCGTTCAAATGCAAATCCTGGTGGAGAGGCCAGACAATCAGTCGACCTTTTGTTAGTGCTGGTTATCAAAATGAAGCTTTGTGTATCTCCAATTAAGAAGATTCTCATACGTTCATGTAAATTCAAGGATTAAATAATGCTCTATTAGATGAGAAATAATGTCTGGCTCTTTAGCTGCTATACAATGCACACCATCTATTCTCATCTTGTGTCTGTCTGGTGCCTTTGCCAGGTGTAGAGAGGGTTTTTAAGAGGTTTCCTAACGGCTGCTGCTGTTGAGTGGATTTTTCAAAACCAAAACAGTATCTCAGAAATCCTGAAACCTTCCATAGAGCTGAGGGGAATTGCTGAGTTGGTAATATGTCTCTGTGGGTGTGTGAACACTTTTCAGATAGCACCTGACTAACTATTACAAACATAAGAATTAGTGCATTCTCAAAAATAGAAACATCACAAAAATATTCTAAAAGCAACATTCCTGTTCAGGAGTCAGTAATTACACTTAAGGTAACAAGAGTACGGTACACAAAATGAGCCCTTAAAGTGTTTTACAGTATGCGCATATATTATTAGATTATTTCTGATGTATTTAAGCATTTAGGCACAGAAGTTTGTCATGGTAAAGCTACTTTATCAGGTCATTTAATTTATAAAAATGAACAATATTTAACCAAATAATCTTTTTTGTAGCTGCAAACTATAATGGGCTTGCAAAAATAATCAAACAATAGTTTTGTACCAAGTCTTTTGTTGAGCGCATACTGCAGGAAGTAGGAAGTAGCAGCCTGACACTTACACACTCTCCTTCTCCCACCTACTCTTTGATATGTTACCAAACTAACTGACAGCCATATAAATGGAAGCCATACAACCTTAAAAAGTGTAACAAACTCACACTGTGT